CTGAACTCTCAGTGCTGATAATGGTGACTGGATGTCAAAGGTATAATAGGAAATAAAGTACTTTTAAAAACAAACTGCAAACACCAAAAAATTGTATTGTTTTCAACTTCCCTATTGAGTGTCTTTGTTGTGCCTATGCATTACAGCAGACATCCACGCCAACGGAAGACAAGAATATTCTAAGCTTGTCATGTGTTATGACTTCTGGAATTAAGGTTGCACGCATGAATTTTTTAGTCTTCCAGTATAATCAATAAGGTAAATTTTGGAAAACTGAAAAGTGAAGGGCTTGAAATTATACTTCATTTGGCTGTTTTTCTTCATTGTGTGATAGTTGAAGTCCTCCCCCCAAAATTCCATTCTTTTCATCTTCTGTTTCCTAATAACTAGTTTGTGTATTTTTTTTTAAGTTTATTCAGTTTTTTTTTTAATCTTTTTTTCAACGTTTATTTATTTTTGGGACAGAGAGAGACAGAGCATGAATGGGCGAGGGGCAGAGAGAGAGGGAGACACAGAATCGGAAACAGGCTCCAGGCTCTGAGCCATCAGCCCAGAGCCCGACGCGGGGCTCGAACTCACGGACCGCGAGATCGTGACCTGGCTGAAGTCGGACGCTCAACCGACTGTGCCACCCAGGCGCCCCTTGTGTATTTTTTTTCCACATTAACTTTACTAGAGACATATGACAAGACAATGCTATATTGGATAATTAAATTTACTCTTTTATAAAGGAATACTGTATGGAAAGATTAAGACAAAACTAGAAAGAAAGACCTGAAATCCACTTGTGACCTGGTTTGTGACAAGATTGTAAAGGTCATCAAGATGTATTTTAATCCAAATAGTATAGGATGGCAGTCATAAAATAATTACATGATTTACTTACTATTTCTTATTCAAAATGCCCACAAAGATTCAAACACAATCTTACCGTTTGAGTTGTCATTTACCATTACTCAAATTCCTGCTCAGAATAAAATGAAAAGTATTGAAGTCTCTGGTCAGACACCTAATTATTAGTGCTCAGTATCTACAGGATCTCATTTTCTCCAAAACACACACACACACACACACACACACACACACACACACACACACACAAACAAAAAACAAAAAACAAAACAAGGAATCCCTCCATTCATGGAGAAAAACCAGTTTCATTTTAAGCATGACTACTGATGTCCATGGCAAGTCTGCTGACTGAAAAGAAAGTGTTTATTGATTCAACCTTTTCATAACCCTATACTAAAGTAAACATGTCTGAGACAACTAAGCAAAACATCAAATTTCACTCAACTACCATGTGGCCCTCTTACTAAAAGAACTTGGCATGGGCCACTATCCAGACAAGGCCCCAGAGTACAGAAGATCTGCATTTTATATGCATAGTAACCCCTCACACCACCAGTTTTTTTTCTCATGTCTTCTTGTATCTTCAGTTAATTGCTGGTGGCTAAAAGCTTAATATAAGCCTCACTAGGTACAACTGTTGTAGTACCTGTCAGTTTCATCTGGTTATAAGTCAGTTTCATCTGGTTATAAGTTCATATAAGCATCTTCTCATAGGAGATGAGAGAATAAGTCTGCATAGTTTCATAATCTTTAGAAAATTTCACTTTGTTGATAATGGTGTAATCATGCATCACCCATGTCTTCTAGGTCTGATCCCAAACAAGAATTTTATATTTCCAATGCCAAAAATCCCCAACCAAATATCACACCAGTCTTTACAAGACCCTAGATTTTACTTAACCTGGGTAAATTAATAAACTATCCTCACATTCTTATATATAACTTTCATAGTATATTACATCATCACTGAGGCAGGAAATGGTTAAAAACACGCACATATGAGAATTAGCATTATATCTGTATTGGCATTTACACTTCATTTATCCATTCAGCAAACAGTATTGGTCATCTACTATGTGTGAGGCACCATACTAGGTGCTGAAAACATAATGATAAATAAAACATGTTCTCTAAAATTCATGGTGCTAGCACCTCAGGAGAGAAATATAAAAGTAGTTAATTATATATATAATCAGGTTAATTATATATGAAAATGGTAATCAAGTTAAAAATGGATCATTTATTTTTGGTGCATATGTATTTTGTTTCAAAAAAGGCATGGTTTTGAGTTTGTCTTCCTTATAGCAATTTTTTAGCTTCCATTGCTGCCTAAAGCAGCTCTTGGAATAAACTGTAAGATGATGGCATCTTTTCAGATTAGCATGCCTTTCTTTATCTCTTCTACAGTAGTATCTTAAAGCTACCTAAAACTACAAAGGTACAAATTTACAAACAAGCTTAGGATATACTCTCTAGTAGGTTATTTCAGATTATACTTTTTGGGGACTCAGAGCCCTTTATTGCATTCTGTTTCTCACAGTGGAATGACAATAATCTCTTTGAGATTTTAAAAGCTTGGATCAAAAAATAACATCTTATACCTTGGCCAATATAGAAAATCTGGGTATAAAAGTGTAAACTGGCCATAGAAGGGTGAAAGGCGGTAAACAATTTTAATGTTGTTCTTGTTTTTCTGTTCCACGTAACAGAAAGCATCAGTCAATGGTAGAACAGTTGCACCAGTAGCCCGCATGTTTCTTATGAAGAATCTGATAAAAATCCCCAGTGCTAATGTCATTGGGGGGAATATGGTATATAGTTTGAAGACATTAACCAAATCTCTACTAAAGAGAAGGCAGATAATGTTTTATTATTTTTGTTTTATTCTAAATAAAGTAGGCTCTTATTTGAGTCTGTTCTAAGTGAAGTCTAGGGGAGTCAGGGAATGCAAGAACAGTAGCATACAACTAGCAAAAATATTTAAAATAGTTTCAGTATTTTGTAAACAACTCTGGCAACTTTTTCAAAGGATTACAAAAACTGCCCTACCTTGTACCATATTCAGAGAGTTTTCTCCCAAAGGTCCAACTCATTAGAAGCACATTATGGTATCTTGTCCCCTCACCTCCACCTCATTATAGCGAGTGAGTATTGGACATGCAACCCAAGGTAGTCCAGACCAAGCACCAAACTACCAAAAATGTATGTTAAAACATATATTCTGAAATGTGTCTGCCTAGGTTAGATTCAGCTTCTATCTTGAATTATGTGACCTCAGGAAGTTATTCAATTTCTCTGTGCCTCAATGTCCTCATCTATAAAACTGAATGATATTAGAACCTGTGGGCTGTTGTTGGGATTAAATGTAAAAATATATTGAAAGAGTTTAGAAAAGGGGCGCCTGGGTGGCGCAGTCGGTTAAGCGTCCGACTTCAGCCAGGTCACGATCTCGCGGTCCGTGAGTTCGAGCCCCGCGTCGGGCTCTGGGCTGGTGGCTCGGAGCCTGGAGCCTGTTTCCGATTCTGCGTCTCCCTCTCTCTCTGCCCCTCCCCCGTTCATGCTCTGTCTCTCTCTGTCCCAAAAATAAATAAAAACGTTGAAAAAAAAATTAAAAAAAAAAAAAAGAAAGAGTTTAGAAAAGAGAATGGGATATACTAAAACCCACTAATTACTGCTATTTGGGTTGAGTTTTGTTGGCATACGAACTGAGAAGATATAAAGGAGTTAGGAAGATACTCTTTCCCGTGTGTGGAGAGAGAGAGAGAACGAGGAGTGAGCACAGAGGTAGAAGAGACTTAAGGAGATACATACAAAGATGAAGAGATTATATTAGTCAGGGTCTAGGAAGGAAACAGATGCCACACTCAATTATAGATAATTTGAGGAGATTTGATTAACGTGGTTTAATAATACCCTGACCTAAAGAGTTGGGGAGGGAGAGAAGTCACAGAACTGGAAATGAGAGATTTTAGTAGCTCCTCATATTGGATCTGCTCATTCCAAGAAGATACGTCCTTTGATTAATAGATGTAATCAATTGAGGTAAACCTCCCGGAGGGTGCCAAACACTTCAATTTCACTCTTCTCATCTCTAATCTTATAGCAAGGTTCCCCACTGACTGCATCCAACCAGAACCCGAGGGCAAGAAAACCAGTGATAGCATCCGTACAGGCCATCCTGCCAGAGCAGGTTGCTGAGTGGAGAAGGGTAAAGAGTAGATCTGGAGGGCCTACACAGAGGATGTCCTGCACAGAAAGCATCTGGGCACAGAGAGGCAACGTCTACTCTGTGCAAGGCCTCTTCCAGTTCTGATATATCCTGTCTTTGGGTTTTTCCAATACATTTCCTTTTTAGACTAAGTATAATGAGCAATTTTCTAATATTTGTAACAAAACCAATTTTGCTCTAAGCAGAAAAGTTCTGGTGACTACAAAATATGAATAGAAAGTCTATGAGCATAAAATCAGAGGAGAAGGAGTATCACCACTTCTGCCTTATTATGGATTTTAGTAGTCCAGAGCATTCAGAGTGTAAGGATCACATTATTAACAGCAGTTTATGAACACTCATTACCCCACTACCAACAATTAAACCATGGCGTAAACTTTCCACTTTTACTTAGTGTCTCCAGAAAAACTGGAGAAGGCTAGATTACTGGCATATAAGAAGTTCATGTCATTAAAGATAGAGTCACAATGTCCAATTAGCTCACTTCTCTCCATGATTGCTACTACCTAAATATTGCTATTAGGTCTTATTTTTCAACTTTGAAGTTATCTGGGCTCATCTCTTAACCTTCTCCAGACTCCCTTTACCTCCCTTCAGTTTATGAGCCCAGAAAGAAAAAAAGCACAACCAACCCAATACAGTAAAAGTCTAACTAGTACATTACCCAAGGCTGGGTTTATGACTTCTCCTTGCTCTGCTACCAAGAAGCTCTCCTAAGCTTCATAAAGACACACATGGAGTTATATTAATATATTCACAGAACACACAGACACACACACATACACACACACACACACACACACACGTCTTGCTTTTTTCACATGGAAGCTTTCTTGGGTGAGAACCATACTTGACTAATTATACTCCATGCCCCATCCCCCACAACAAAAATGTCCAAAGAAAACAGTTGAAATCTCACCATGGCCAGTGTCTGGATGAAGCTGTCTTGGGAATCGTGGAATAAGCAGTTACCTCTGTGGGGGGGAAAAAAGTGATTATGTCGCATGCAAGGCCTTTAAATTGAGGGAGAATTAACTCAGCTTATAATAAATCACTGTTGACATCCTCACTAAAGACTTCATGCTCTCCCAAGCCAGGGGGAATTTTTAGCTGGCCAAGAAGGAAACACCACAAGCGCTGGCTATTATTTGAATGTGCAACCTTCATATGGGAGATTCTGAAGGGTTTTCCCTATACGATCTGAACAAATTCCACAGAGAATAGCTACCCTACTAAAACAAACAAAGATTGATTAATAACTTATTATCATATTTTACAATTGAGACTTTGGAAAATGTGTAACCGCAGGAGGCCTGTCTTCACCTCACTTAGTTTTAACTTATATATGGGTCTTTCACTAAAGAAAAAAAAAAGTCAAAGAAAAAGACTGAGGACAGCAATCCTTCCCCTCACGGTTTGAAGAAGAAAGGTATTTTTTTTCTTTGTACTTTGCAGGGAAGAATGACTGATTTACCAACTTTGATGAAGGTTTATAGACTATCTAGCATATAGTTTGCTATCTTATGTACTGTCTCATCTGCTCCCTGCAAAGTCCCTAAGGAAAAAGGCAATGTCTGGGATAATTCTTTCAGAAAAAGGAACTTCGGTCTCGGAGGTAAAGTGACTTATGGACATCTGGGTAAGAGAAGGTGGAGGCAGGACTTTTGCTAAGTTGTAGTGCAGAACCTATTTTCTACCATGTAGAAGTACTTCATAAAGAGGATGTGTTTCTTAGGTGGTAGAATCAAATTTGATATTAATGACATTTATTGAAAACCTTAAAAATTCTTCACAGTGTTACCAAGCCTCCACCAGAGTATTTTTCCTCCCATGTAAGTTGTTACCAACATTTGTACTAGCTATACTAAGTGATTCAGTGAACACTGGATTCAAAGGGATTAAATTCGGTATTGTCCTAAGAGTTTTAGCCCATCTCTGGATGACACTAGCACACTTCAGTGTTTTTGGAGGGGCGGGGATGATTCAAAATTATGTATAAATTACATGCAGATGAACAAGATTTGAACAATGCTTCCCAATGAGTAAAATTGACTTCAATAGGTCACCCCAGAGAAGTATATTCTTGTGTGCTGGATAACTGTGTTTGCCTCTTCACTTAACATTCTGCATCTGGCCCCACCCTGCTTAGTGTCTTGAGAGGCCAACCCACAAGGATTACAACCAGGATCCCTTTTGCCCTTTGACTTCCATTTGGGTTCAACCAATGGAGGCCCTGGAAAGAGACTGGAAAGAAAGAAGAATGTGAGGTTAAAATATTTATCCCCCTGGATCCCTCCTTGCTGGGAATCTCAGATAGTCATTGCTTTTATCCCCAGAATCGCTCCAGAACACTGGTCTCTCCCCTGGTTCCAGAAATGACTCCTTACTCTTGTTCCATTTAGCTCCAGAGAACTGCACTTTTCCTTGAGGGTTTCCCTAAACTCTTCCCACATCAGCGTAATCAGTTCTGTTGCAAAACTTTCCTCAAATCACTCAGATTGGATGAGATTCAGCCAGGGCCCTGCCAGGAAAAAGCAGGTACACTCAGACTAGGTTTCCATCCTTTTCATGGATCTTAAAACCATGCACGCAGGACTCTACACATGTCTGGGATGCTAACGGAATGAGATGGGATTTAGTTGTTACAAGGACAAGTGTTGTGTTGGGATCATTGCCCAAATGATAAAGAAGCAAGTAAGCAAAGCAATTCTGTTCAAGAGATTTATTCTGGGAGGTGGGGAGGCTAGACCAATTCAAAATTAAGTATAAAATAAATACATTGTTCGCCCTTCCTCTCCCCCATGGTTCTCTGTTAAGTTTCTCAGGATCCACATATGACTGAAAACATATGGTATCTGTCTTTCTCTGCATGACTTATAATACCCTCCAGTTCCATCCACGTTGCTATAAATGGCCAGATTTCATTCTTTCTCATTGCCAAGTAGTATTCCATCGTATATATAAACCACATCTTCTTTATCCGTTCGTCAGTTGATGGACATTAACATTAACTCTTACGGCAACCATAAGAGACTCTTAAATACTGAGAACAAACTGAGGGTTGATTGGGGCGGGGAGAGGGGAAAGTGAATGATGGGCATTGAGGAGGGCACCTGTTGGGATGAGCACTGGGTGTTGTATGGAAACCAATTTGACAATAAATTATATTTAATATAAAAAATTTCATTAAAAAAAGAAAAAATTTTCTGATACATAATTACAAAAATGAAAGAACAATTAAAAAGAAGAAAATATAAATTTAATTAATAATCTGAGGAGAATTAAAATACAAATTACTTTAAAAATGGTCAAATAAGTTATATTGCATTTAAAAATAAATAAATAAATAAATAAATAAATAAATAAATAAATGTATAGAACAAGATTTGAATGATGCTTTCAAATTACTAACATTTACTTCAATTAATAGAGTACTCCAAGGAATAATAAGAAAAAATAGAATGAGTAGTGGTTAGCCTGTATTAATTAGGTAAATTTGTTTATTTTCACTTAATGTGACAGGAACCCGAATTAATTATCATGCCATTTTTAATAAATTGAGTTACATGATCTTATGTTAATTTTTATTGAAAGCCCTTAAGGTAAAGTAATTTACATACACAAATCTTACTGCTCACTTAATTATTTCTACTGTACAGCTTACCAATGCAAATAATGTATCTCATTTCAAATTCTGATTTTATGCTCCCAATAAACAATAAAACAAACAAATAAATTAATAAATAAGTTTTTAAAAGACAGCCTGATGTTAAATAACATATATATTTGTGTGTGTGTGTGTGTGTGTATATATATAGGTTGTAGCAGTTAAATGTAGAAGTTATGTGGTTCATTGAGTGCTAATTATTATTTTCTCTTGCAACACACTGTGGCATTTTGGTGAACTATTTTGACATTAGGGCATTCCTAAGTATAGTCAATAGGCTCTTATTAATATAGTAGGGTATTTTTAGTGTAGGCTTCAGCTTTATAAAACCACACAGCTTAAAAGTATCCATTCACAGAAAAAAATTCATATTGAAGCATAACCCCATCTGTATATGTCTACTCAGGTCCTTTAGCTTATGAAACAAGTACTCAACTTATATAAAGATAAATATATATTTAATTTTGGCAAGGTTCTCCACTAAAAAATGAATTTTATAAAGCAGAAAAATTTTTATCAATTAGACTTACTGCCTTACCTCTTCTATAAGGTGCTTTTCTGAAGCACAAATGCGACACGTGTATTCAAAGAAAAGGTGAAACTGCCAAAGATTACAAAGCACATTGTGTACATCAAGCTGTGAACAGTCACATAACAGAATACACTGTGGCTATGAAGTCACAACAGCAGGCTCCCAAATGGGGTTTGGTTGGTTGACATTTCTGTGGTGCATGGTGTGTGTGTGTGTGTGTGTGTGTGTGTGTGTGTGTGTGTGTGTGTGTTTCTTGTCCTTTTCTCTAGGAAGCATTCTACTCAGACAGCCAGGGTAACAAGTCAGACAAGCTCTCCCACAAACAAACTCAACACTGTTAATCAATCACTCTTTGCGCTTTGAGAATTTACTTCCTCCTGAAAACCACTTATGAAATGAACCCTTTTTCCTTTTTAGATTAGGGAATTGGAACAGAGGGAATCAACATACTCATGGTTATATATTGACATTGTGAGACAGATGAAATGAAAAGCAGCAATTCTTGCTGATAATCATTCAATTCTGTGAAGCATAGGTAACACAGTGATACAAGAGTCCTGAATCACTAGTTGTTACTTACTTGGTTTTCACTTTTTAGCTTCCTGTAAATAAAATCAATGGCTGAATCCTATGGCTCTGGCCATCACGATCCTAAGCAAATCCAATAAGTAGAGAGCAAAGATGAATTCCATGCCTACTTATATACAGAGCCAAGTCCTTCCCTCACACGTTACTTATTTTCACATTACACCAGTTTTTCTCCAAATGTATGATAATAGATGTTCCTTGACAAAGAGCCCTTTGGGGCAAAATACGCAGACAAAATAAAACATTCACAAAGTATTAGCAGGTTTTGTTTACCACCTAATTTCCCTTCTCCGAAGCTTTAATCTGTAGCTCCGCTCTGAATTTGGGGCAGGATATCATAAACTGCTGTATCAGAATTCATTGACCACTCCCTCACCCCCACCTCAATCTCTCACCTCTTCAGTAAACACTAAAGAGGCAATTATACCAAGCTGATTATCTGATCTCAAACGGTTTGGAAGAAAATAAGGAAGACTGGGTGAGGAAGAGCATTAGGATGCAGCACAATTAACTACCAATTAATACTGGCTGATACCCTGATGACCACATAGCGAGAACACTAAAGGAAACAGCAGTAATTCACACTTCCTGATGAGCTGGAGACATTTGGGGGGAGGGGCAAACAGTTTTATGAAGTGCAGCACTGGAGAATTTGCTAGGTTCACGGCAACATGAACTAATTTCTGTTCTTCAGGGATGACTTTTGAGCATCCTCACAAAGGTAAATAAACAGATAAGTTGGGTAAACGTGAAACATTACCTAATTTGGCATCCCCATTTTCACAGAGGAGGAAATTAAAATTCTGGGAAAACATTAAGTGGTTAGTATGCAGTCAGATTTTTTTTTTTTTATTTAAAAAAAAAAGAGGATAGAACCCAAATCATTTGTAACTTAAAGCTAATGTCCAGCCATACCTAATGTATTACACATTAGCAAGGAATACTGATAAGTGAGAAATGAGGCTTTTTTTTTAACCCGAGGTGAAGGTTAAAATCTGGAGTTGAGTATATTCATTATTTACTATTAATCAAAATTTCATCATTGGATGACATTTTTGATCGTTCAACAATATGGATAGTTGTGGAGGATACTTTGATAGGCTTTCCAGATCCCATTTCAATGGAGAACTTGTTGTCTCAGAATATGGGAATGCTCTGGCAGATAGCCTTGGAGGCTCAGCAAGGCT